CGAAATAGGAGCACTATTTATCAATCTGTAATAAAAGACGTGAGGAAATTCTGCCTTTTTTAAAGACAAAAGTGTTTGAGGCGAAATACCCAAATAGAAGTTTATAAAAAGTGAATCCGCCTCAACCATATAGAACTTATCTACCGCTTTTGTTGTTAAATCTGGCTTTAACAGTTCTCCTAAAAATTCACTTTTGCCTTTTGCAGTTTCTTAATGTTTGTGGTTCGCTTCAACTCAATTTTAAGCAAAATAGACCACTTTCATATTGTAACATCATAAATGAATTAATAAATTGTGTACTATATCCTGGGTTAGTTACATGAAAGAAACTGATCAACAATTCAGAGATTCCTTTCTTTGTTTTGATCGGGATTTCCTTTTCTGTTTTACCAGTTTTTTACGTGTTTATTAGGATAGGAAGATCGACTATTTTGCTGAAATATTTCGCTAAAATCGATTTTGATTCATTTTCGTCACAACTGAACGTTTCGGTTAACGCGGATTTCAAACCAAGAATTTTATTTTGAAGTAAGTATCTTCCAAACCAAGCAATAAATATTTCTTAGAAAATGTTCAATTCAAACAAAACGATTGAAAGAAACCTGTCAGCGCATGAAGCATTCGCAGGTTCTTAGTCTTAGCATTTGTACATTGTCCATTTTTTAACATCGCAAAATTATTTCCTTATTGTTAATTGATCTTCTTTGTTTCAGATTATCCGACTATCAAAGCAGTCAAACCAAACTATTCGCGAGCTTTCCAAAAACCTTCCCTATCATTTGCCTTTCATCTTGGAGCCCCACAATGGGTGGGGTAATTCATTTATCCAGCACAGGATTTAGACACTTTACATCCTTCATATCCTTGCTGGGCATTTTCCTGATACTCGTTGCCAATATCGGTACTTCCGTTGCAAAGTCGAATCATGAATCTTCCGTTCCCGTTCATCACTTGGAGTTCGGGTCTACGTATTCATTTGGAGAGTATACAAAATGTCCCAGATCTTGTGTCTGTTCCGGTACCACTGTGGATTGTTCTCATCGAGGCCTCCGAGGGGTTCCCAGAGGGATTCCGACTAACACCGAAAGATTGTAAGTATTCCATTGTTTTGCCAATTAATTGAGATGATACCCGTTCGTCGGTTTATGTATGCAGTGAAATTGGAAACAGAGTACAAATAAGGAAATGTCAGCTCACCTGTTAGAGTATTACAATTTGTCGTATGCCGTTTACCGGCTGTTGATAAGAATTCGAGTACCTACCGGAAGAACCTGCCGTTTACATAATGTCATGACCGATGAGAATTGTTAACAAATAACGATTCGGGAAGTTATCATCTTATTAAAGACTACCGTTCCCACATACGAAATGACTTGTTTGTTGTTAATTCTTCTATTTTTGTTTTGAGTATATTSSTATCAAATTAAATTAAATATATTTCCGAAACGTTAGTCAGTTTTCCGTGTTTGTTTTTGAAAAGGACACGAATCTAAAAAARTTCAGAGCTGCAAAATGTACAAAGGCTATGGCTTTTGTCATTGCGTTCACAATATTTCGGCTATCTACATAAAAGGTTTTATTTTCCTTTGATAAATTCCTCGAGCKTATTGCCTTCAAATGCAGTTGCGTCACTTCCTCCCCAAGATTTCACATAATGGAGAGCATGCAGGAGTTACWTTATGCGGTTTTGTGTTCTTACAAGAATTTTGGGGAAATGCTCACATGCCTCAAAATCATTCTTCGATTATTGGTAATGATTAATAGTCGAAGAAGTCGACGACATATGTGGTCATTATGCGTTCAACAGTGATTCAAATTGGGTTAGGTGTTAGTAATATTTGCAAGGAAAAGTAAGTCAAAGTGCTTAACAACTATTTGCTTAATTTGTGCAAGAAATGCATATAATACTTAGACTAAAAACTTACAAAAAACGCTCCGTAATATGTTTCCGTATTTAATCCTTATTTCTATAAATGGACATTGGATCATTTACTATTAGTACCAGACATATCTTCAACGTATTTGTTACGAACGTTATTCGTCTATCGAAATCGAAGATAATTTTTTAATACTCTTTGGATAGTTGTGGTTTTTATATTTTTGGTTTGGTTATTTACTTGAGAGAAGACCGTAGAAAACCATTGCCATTTATTATACTAATTTTTTGGGCTCTATCTAGGGAACAGATTGTTCACTTTGTCCATGACGCTCTCTAGAGACCTTTAGGTTTCGGGAGTTTGTACAAACTTTATTTAATAAAATGTTAATAGAATTTTTAAACTTTGAATAATTAAAGAAATATTATTTTTATTACTGACGCAGTCACTACCCTCTGAGGTTTATGCTATGGTTCGAATTAATTCTGTCTTTGAAGTGACATAAACCCTATCTTTTAGGGTGACATACGAAAAAATCTAAGGGTGTGAAAACGTAAGAGTTTGGTTAAACACGAATGATTCAGAAAGATAGATGAGACGTTGTGGTCCGGTTATGTGCCCTACACGTTCACCCGATCTCACGCTCTTGGATTTTTTCACGTAGGGCTTCCTAATGCCGGCATAAAAGATAGGGCTTATGTCACTTCAATAGCATTCATCGGAGGTCTCACGTTGATGATAAAAAAACGCCTGCGAATATCTTAAAATTCATCATTTAGTTGGAATACGAAGGTCTGTTTCTAGACTGTTTAGCGTCTTTGGCAATTTTGCATTCAGGGAAAAGTTTTTATATTGAAAATTTACTTTTGATCTGTAGAATTGTACAAGCTACGCTTGCTACTTTGTTGTGTATTAATTTGCAATTGAAAAGTGTTTTGAAAAAAATTGAAACGTTTACGGTTAGCTACTTCAAACAAGAGTCGTTTTTTGACGCAAGTATGAACATAATTTTTCTTCTTAACCAGGTTTATACAGATAGGCACAACAAAGTAATTACAATTTAAAAATTGATGGATAATTGTAAATTTGAGGACAACTTTGACCTGATTGGGTGTGGTATTGCGATAAGCCCCCGAATGCAGACTTTATTACAGTATCCAAATATTTGCGTGAACTATTAAATTAAACTGAAATCAAATGTTAGCTTTACCACCCTGTATCTCAAACACGAAGCGGTTTTCAATATATGTTTATATAATATTTTATAATAAAATAAAATGTTCTATACATTTTTTCTGAAATTTTCGTCGGCATTTTTTTAAACCTGTTGAAAAACATGGATGGATTGAACTGAATAATTTACCTACTAATTTTTACGGTCAGGGCCATGCCTGAAGGATTCGATTCGAATGAAAGACTATCATTATAAAAGTAGATAAAAAGTTTTGCGTCTCCAACTTAGAGCAATACTTTTAGGCGTTTTTTTACGACGAAATACGTTAAATATTAAAGTTTTTTTATAGGTTATTATTAGTCTCATTTAGTAATTTATATTGTTCGGAAAAGTTATATTATACTAAAACAGAATGTTTGGAAACAACTAAAGAGAAGTTTGACATTTGGACGGTTAATAATGGAAATATGCCCCGATCGGTGATAGTTTAAAACTATCGACTCGCAGCTGTGTAAAGTGAAGCTGATTTATACGATTCAGTTGCCTGCTTTTCCGGCACAACAGCATCGGACTACTAAATGACAGTAATTAGTACTGTCATAATTAGCAGCCAACTGTGAACGCTCCGACTGCGGCATAAAATTTATTGATAATGGGCAGCGTACTTCGTTAAAATTACTAATAATTTCGGTGACAAATCGGCTATCGATGTTTTAAGGTAACTACGTTCAGCGTATGCATACGTAGTGCAATTTTCAGACACCGATTCTAATTAATTTCAATTAATTTCGGCTCTCAAATTTGCCGGAGTTCTAAACGCTAGCCAACATCCAACCTAATTGGAATTGTCATATATAGAACTCCTTTTGGTGCGGTTTAAAAGTTTATATTTTAAAATTAATTCAGATTCGGAAAACATGATATTGGCAAATTATGACTGATACAAAAATGTGAAAAACACCTCATTTAGTCACATTCACTGTAAATAGGATAGGGTGGAGTCTATAGCGTGAAGGGAAATTGGGAGTTGGAGTAATTGATGGTTTTATCAATTTAGGCATTAAAGAACTATCACTTTTCTGTGAAGATAAATTGATCAAAACGAAATTTTTAAATTGTTTTGTTTCGATCAATGTGAAGATTCACTGAGAGTTCATGTTGCATTACGTTATAATTCAGTTTGCATGTGAAATGCTTCTGATTGCTACTTTCGGAGAGCGCAACTCCATCCATTTAGTTTTAAAAGTTTTTATTATCAGGTAATTCTTATGTGTCCAAATGTCTCTAAATTCGGAATTCTGCCGATCCCATCTGGAATTTCACTGGTGTATTTCTTTTAGAAAATAAGTCGACACTTCACAAAAAAACCTTAATATTTTTTCGTACCCCTAAAAGCTGAAAGTTGAACCGGCTTTGATCTGGATGTTGAGCAAAATTAGCTTGTTTTTCCAGAAACTCATTTGCTTCGTTTCCAATTTAACATTGTTGTCCATTCTTTCTTTGCGTTGTCATTCTACTAAACACGTTCCAAACTTTGCTTCAAAAGAATACAGCGAATTTGAGACGAGATAATAATATGAGCTTCCGCTTTTAAACACCTTCTTATAAAAAGTCGACGTTTGAAACGTCGTAAAATCAACATTGATTTTGTCTCACTAATTGGTTTAAAGTTTCAAAGTTGGTTCTTATTGTCACTTGGCCATAAAAGTATGCTTGGCATATTTTCCGGAGTAATGACCAGTACATTCTAGAGGAAAATAATGCCAAAGTTAAGAATTGAGATGCGAATAAATGTATCTTATGATTGGTACAGCGGTAGAAAATTGAATAAAATGTTTCTTCTACTCGTTGTGTTACCGAAAACTTTACTTTTTCTGGCAAATAATCCATTGCCGGAATTAGTTACTTTCCTAGCTCATAAAACGAGTTAAGAATATTTTTTTTCAATAAAGGTGATTTAAAAATGAAATAAGCAAAATGAAGTCGTTTTTAAAGTAAATAATTGTACTACATGCAAGTTATATTCATAATAATTATGTAAGGGTACTAGGAGACTAACGAAAACAGTTCCACACACTGTGCTTGAAAGTGCAGCTTTCGACAACAAAATTTGGAAAATGTTTAGTTTACATTCTATTTCAGTCCTTATAACCTGTCTATTTGGAAAAGTATATCGGCTTTAACGCTTTGTCAATCATATTTATCAGTTTCTTTATTACCTTTTTAGTTCAGTTTATGATTTACAATAAACGTATTATTTTTTAAATGTCATCTGTTCAGGTTTAAAAAATTACAACTCGTCAATAATCAAACATTGTTTTCGGGCAATTCAGTTGAACGTTCACAAACAATTATTTACTTCAAATACTTAATACCTCTGCTTCTTTTTGGTGCTCGAAGAAAGAATGTTCGCAAGTCTATTAGAAAGTGTCTTCCGTACTCGCCTGCTTATTGGTATTGGTAGCCAGGTAGCCAGCCGGAAAGATGCCACTTTCCGCCCTAGTTAGGAAAATATTTGATTTATCGAGAAATGAATCTAACTCAAAGGGCATCAGTTATTTAAACTAAAATCGGTTTAAAAAATGGCATCGCTCCATCTTTCGAATACGCTTGTTGCAAAGCACAGTGTGATATTTCGTGTTGAACCCTCCAGTTTCTGCCACAACTATTTCACATTTATGCGAATTTCTAATTATAACGCCGAAGCAGCACAATAAAACGAGTTCATAATGAGAATATGTGTGCGTATCAAATTTAACTTTAAAAGTTCGTTCAATTCAGTAGCCGAGCTTATTTCGAAGTTTGTCAATTATAACTTTGTGATCGTGTATGGCCCACACTGAATGTACTGGAACAGGTATGAAATCTAGTTTGGAAACTTAGTAGTGTTTGATTAATTTACTCAGGCATTTTGTGAGGGAAGAGCAGTTCAATGGCTGAACATGTTTGTTTTATTTGTGAATAACTTTAGTCAAAATTCTCCAATTTTAGTTGCTTTAGCCATGCAGTTCTTTAAAGAAGATATAAGAACATGGTGTTG